TGGAATTGCGGTGGGGACCCGCCGGGGCTGCTTCCCAGGCGAAGAGGAAGCGGGGCGGGAGAAGGGGTGGAGGTAAGGATGGGGGGGAGAGGTGAACAAGGCGAGCAGACAAATTTAGAACATCCTCTTCTTCCAAATTTAATCGCTGATAGACAACGGACTTCAAAGGGAGGAAAGCCACTGCGGTTTCCTTCAAGCAGCACTGACGCTTTTTGTTTGGTCGTTTAAGTATATATTTTTGAATATTTTATGAAAGCATTTTATGTGTGTGGAGTGTTGAAAAGGGCCCCCTGAGTAGGGTTATTTTTTCTTTTCCCTTCCCCTAACCATCAGGGAGCAGAGCTGCCAAACCATGAAATTCAACTTTATCACATTTCATTATTCCTGTAGAAAATGCACTTTTTTTCCTCATAAATTACGTTTCTTATGTTACCATTATACTTTAAAATCATTGCACTCTCTGGCTTTTAAATATGTATGGGGCAAGGTACTGCTGCTAATACTAAACAGACCCTGGCAAACTCTACATATTATCTGTGTTATTAAGAAAGCCAGAGCAAGACATAACGGTTCAAATTATTATTATTAATGTGCTTAACATGCTCTTAATTCGGGGTGAGAAGCAGTGCTCAGTCTTGGCACATCTATTTGCTGACTGCTCCGCTTCAGTGGATTTTTGCCTCTTGCAACTTTGACCTTCACATGTGTTAAAGTGTGATTAAGCCGCAGGTCTCAGATCTTGTTTGGTAATTTCCCTAAATTTTCTGAACGGATCTGAGCCACAGAATGATTTGAGCAAAACCTTTGAAAGCGTTGACATGAAATCCATGTTTCCTGCGATTGCCCGGAGGAAAACGCTGTTCCGAAAGGAAGACGCTGCCGGCTTCCCTGCAGTGCTGCCGCCGAGCCCTGTCCCGCAATCACTGCTTGGTCTTTGCTTGATGCCAAATATGGAAAAATAAGGGATCAAAAATAACGCCAAAGGGATGAGTAGCTTATTCCCGCAAGTGGCACGAGTGTCAGCTCTCAGGGCCTGAAGCTGAAATTGCTTTAGAGCAAGAGCATTATTTAAGGCGAATCGTATTTAAACTGCAGTGCCACGTACGGTGGCTGCTTGTTTGGAGACAGAAAACTAGATTAGCTGCTGTCTAAGCACAAGGATAAGAGCACAACTAACCGTGTCACGGGGGAGATCCCCACTTGCAGTCCCTAGTGCAGCTCTTCCCTCCAGAAGCGAGAACAAGGTAATCCTGAAAAGCAGAACGGTAACGCGCCTTGCTCCGCGGAGCCCGGGCAGGGACACGGGTGGCGGGCTCCTGCAGCCCGTCCTCAGCCGCCACGAGCCCCCCGCGTCCCGCGCGAGCCCGCTCTGGATTGAATTTCACACATTTCATTCCTCACTGTAATCCAGGATTTTCCCACAATGATTAGAAAGTAAATTGCATTTTCTCTAGTAAATAAAGAATTTCCCTGCCTGTTAATAATAATATTAAACTCATTATTCCCACTCAAAAAAGCTAACCTGTTTGACATTGGTGCTGTTCAAGAATACACATAGGTTTCATACTGAATTAATATTTGCTTGAGCTTATTTTCCACCTTACTCTTTAATATCCTCACTTCTCCTCCAAAAGCAGAAATTAAATATGCCATTTTTTCAAGAATCTCAGAATACTAAAAATTTTTATGGATATGAGGAAAAAAAAATCTCTGTGCTTCTATATTCCCTTATTCCAGCCATATTACAATTTAGCAGCTTAAGTAAACCAGCTAGGCTGCTTCGGCGGAGATCAGTAGGGCCCTCTGGAAGTGACTCATCCCTTCCTGCGCTGTAGAGAGAAGCTGATGACTAGCCCGACTACACCTAGCTTATAGGTGCCTGTCAGCAAGGGAGTCAATTATTTGAGTCCTTCTGAATTTGGGCGTCCAGCTGCACATGTATTTTTACTGTCTTGCGAGATTCCTAAAAAATGTATGGTAGGAACATGTAAATTTAGGAGGAGCACATTTTGTTCTTAGGCAGTTGCAGAAAGATTACTGCAAAACTCCTCTAAGATAGATGTAAGTATTTCCTGGAGAGAGGTAAGGAACCTCCACTAGGTAGGAGAGTTTGCAGTGAAGGAGCCAAGAGGAATGGAGCTACTGAAGCAAGGTCTGGAGCTACTGAATCAAGGGCTCCAGTTAGGATCATCCAAGGTTTGGATTTCAAATACATTAGGGAGGGCTGTTCTGTTTGCATATGTTGATGGTGTGGAATGAGACCACCAACCACTCTAAAAGGTCAAATATTCAGTGGTCTGAGAGTAAAGGGAAAGACTCACCAGCCCTATCTGTCTCTTCTCTCTCAGTATCCCTCTTCTGTAGAGATGAACCTCAAGAGGATGGTGTGGGACCCCACACGAGGATTTGTGATCCCCTCTCATTCGTTTGTTTACTCTGGAGTACTCAAATGCACCGCAAATGTCAACGGAACTGTGTTCTCATCCTACTACCTAGCACAGAGACTGGGTGAGTGACTACGCGTGCCAAGGAACGACCATAGTGTTTCTATTCCATAGCTCTCCCTTGAATCTGATTTATCTCACTGCTTGGTACCCTGAGCAAGTCCAGACTGGAACACTCAAACTCCTTTTCCCCCTTTTTTCCTATACAATAGGACTTGGATTTGATCCACTCTTTGTTTTAAAAAGCTACCAAGTATTGAGGTGATACAATACAGGAGTCATTTATCCAAACCTCACCAAAGCTCAGTTCTTTTGGACAGAGTGATATTTGCATTAAAACAACTGCTGGTTTAGGATAAACTAGTTGCTTTTTTTCTCACTCTGGTCATTCAACACTGACGATCATGGTATAAAAATCACATTAAAGTGCTGATTAAGTGCTTTTCTTTTTTATATTGTTTATCCTGGTGCTTTACCATACCCTCTCCCTTATGTTCATACTTGAGTTTCAGTTCAGAATTAAAATATGAATTGGAAGCAAGTAAAAAATAGATTCTGAAGTGCTAAGGATTTATATGAAGCCACTTACAATTTATTTTCCCTCTGTTTTCTATATATTTGCTTGGTCTCCTTGTAGACACTGTTTTTCACACAGAAGAGCTTACTGTGACTTCTTTCCCATTAGATCATTGCATCCTTCTATACAATTAGCATTCAGCTTTAAACAACAGGCTGGTAAATTTGTATGGCAGCCAAATAGAAATGCTGGAAATCTCTCTTGGCCTTTTTTTTTTCACTGCTGAAGTAATTATTTACTACTACATTCATTCATGCACAGCTAAAAGAAAACATTCGTTCATCCCTGTTTAGCCCCTAAGGACACAGGCCAGTCCTTACCCTGTAATGACAGTGAGAGGTAGGAGTGTTGTCGGGATGTGGCAGCGCAGGGGCTGAGGGCCGGCCTCGATGCGGGGCTCATTTCAGAGCTGATGCGTGCAGGGTGTCAGTAAGGCTGTAACACCAAGACCTGTGGATGCTACTCCCAAAGCAGAGGCAGCTCGACATCAGAGGGCAGGACAGGCATGGGCCATGCTTTACAGAAATGAACCTTCTCTTAGATAATCAGATGTTGAGGTACTCAGTAGGATGAGCCCCTTCTAAAAACTTCTCTGAATTAGGAGTGGGAGCAAGGAGGCGAGTGGCATGAGAATGGCTGTGGAGCTGTTGATGATTATAGAGGGTTAGAGCCCAGCATAGCAAAAGCAAGAAAAATAATTCATATATCACTGCATCCACGTGTGATCGATAAGCTGTAATACAGTACTTTCAGCCATTTACACAGGTGACCTCATTTTTCCACTGTATTGAAGTTTCCAGCAATTTTCATAGGTTTGTCAGAGGAAAGTTAGGTATTTCTGAAGAAAGGAATGATGTTGGAGAGGCTTTTAAAGGAGTGTGGAGTCCATCTGAAATGTCATTGCTGCAGATAAAGGCCTGCATGTTTATACATTTGGTTTTATTTATTTATTTATTTTTCAGAGAGCAGAATACAGAACCTGGATTTGAAAGCAACTCCAAAAAAGCTGCTGGTGGGAGATACTCTCTATTTGGACTGCAGAGCAGAAACCTTCATCAATGGACGCATTGAGTTCGCGTGGACGTGTCCTAGTGGGAGAGTGAGTCGATGAAAATTTGGAATTCTGTTTTGATGCAGTCTGTCCCCACCCACCCCAAGAAAGATCTATTCACGAGGCTGAGTAAATCCTAAGTATTCATTATTCTGAAAAATAGCCAGCCATTTGTAAGCATACAATTGTTCATGTTTTTAGTTCAGATGAGAATGAAACTTATGTGACCATCTTGATCCTGCAATTTGAACTGCAAAGCACAGGCTAAATGAATGCCTGCAAGAAAAGCCAGAAGTATGATTCTTGTTGGAAAGAATAGCTGTCTCGCTCCTGGTGGCCCCTGTATTGATCCTGCTCACAGCAGCGAGTCTCAAAGCAGCCGTGAAGGTTGCAGATTGTCAGTCTGCTCATCCATTTCGGTATTTATAGAGTAGGTGAAAGTGAAATACAAGCTAGTTGCATCTGCTAAAGTCTCACCAACAAATTCCATTTGTGTTCTCAGTGCAGGTTTGTTAGCTTTCTGTGGAAGGCAATATAGAAATGCCTGATTTGAGTTAAAAATACAAGGGATGGAGCATTTCCTCTGGCATACTAAAATCTTTCAATTCTCCCAAGCTAAAATGCAGGGAAAAAGGAAATTTTTGAGATCAGTTCATGTGTCCAAGATCAGTTCTTAAGGTTCCATTTGATTCTCAGAATTAAAATGCTTTCTTTTAATTTAGCAAAATATGCATTTCAAAGAAGCATCTAAGCCGCTCTGAGAAAGTAGAAAATGTGACCTTCAAAATTTGATTATTTTTGGACTTCTCCTGTTTACATAAAGCAAGCATGTTTCATTTTGTTTCTTCAAAGAAACTGCAGAAAATGTGTACAGACTTCAAAGAGGTGCAAGCAATATGGTCCTACCTTACTTTGTTTCTTGAACCCCATGTGATGGGTGAGAAAGTGGTCTTTCTGCTGTTGTTTTTCCCTGAGCCCTCCTTAGGATTCTAACACAGTAACTGTAAAATTTCTTGGCCAAAATCTGTGTGGTCAAAACTCCTATCAGAAGCACATCATGCTTTCTCAAATTCTGCAGGAGTTTGCATTCGCATTTGGCTGTCAAAATATCTTTTGTTCTTTTAAAAAACAGGTTTTCTTTTTAAGACACTGACTTTGTCCAGAAAAAAAAAAAAAAAGCAAAACCACAACAAAATGCACAACTTGGACCCTACCAAAGCCAACAGGACTGTGCCAGCACTGTTTGCACAGTGCTCCGTGGTCCCAGAGTAGGCTTGATCTTTTATGCATCCAGTTATTTACCTCCCTGCTCAGGTTTCAGTCAAAAATCACCACAGTACCATTCTGTAAGGTCACATCTATCTCTTATCATACTTTCTGATACCCATTTTTTCTGTCCTCCAGCAACCTTATCCTAGAAGAACGATGGACCAAAGCGACGTGGTGTATAAATTTAGCAGTAGCCTGACAATTGAGAATGTCACCATGGAAGATGGAGGCTCTTATGTGTGCAGAACACTCAATGCAACAAGGCTGGAGGCCAATGTCACAGTCACAGTGTACGGTAAGTTCTGCAGCTAACCTAGAACAACACTGAGAACCAAGATTGTTTAGTGCAAAGAATAAAGATGCATGAAGATAAAGATACTGCAGGTATTACTGATTCCTCACTTTAAATATAAGATCTTTATTTGGAGATGAAGCATACTGGTGCTTTGCAAGGCAACTGCTATAACAGCTTGTCATAGAATCATAGAATCATTAAGGTTGGAAGGGACCTCTAGAGATCATCTAGTCCAACGCCCCTTCCATGTGGTTGTCTGTAGCTTTGGCAGATCTGCACTGCAAAGAAATCCAGTGCAGACACAAAAATATTCAAAGATGTGAGCATTGCACCCTGGCAGATCTGCCATTGCTTGACTTTCTTTTTTTGTTTCTCTTTCAAGACAAACCTTTCCTTACGGTTTCCCATAAGAAAGGGCCCTACTATGAGATTACATCAGGACACAAGTCATTGAAACTGGCAGCAAAGGTGGATGCCTTTCCGCGTCCCAGTGTTACCTGGTGAGTGTCTTCATCTTACGCAGAATCCCAGATGCATGACCTTCCTCGGGCTCAGGAGCAGATTTTCACCCTTCCTTACCCCACAGTTAAAAGAGTTGGTGGTGCTCATTGCTTTGGTCTCCCAGTCCTCCTAAGGAGATGCGTCTCCTTTCTACAGTGCCATAT